TGGCAGTGAGTTCCAGACCTTAACCGCTCTTACTGTAAAGAACCCTCTTCGCCCATTGTGCTGGAATTTTTTCTCCACCAACTTTAGGTGGTGGCCTCTAGTCTTTGTAATGGAGTTAATCTCAAACAGTTTGTTGCCAATGTTGCTGTCACCATTGAACATCTTGTACATGAAAATCATATCCCCCCTTAATCTCCTTAATTCCAGCGTAAACATGTTTAAGGTCAGAAGCCTCGTCTCATAGCTCTGGTCCTCCATTCCCCTAATTAGTTTGGTTGCCCTCCGCTGGACTCTCTCCAGTTCACGGACATCCCTTCTCAGTACCGGCGACGGGACCGCGTACTCCAGATGTGGCCGAACCAACGATCTATATAGAGGCCCAATTATAGACTTGTCCCTGCAATACATCCCCTTCTTAATACAGGACAAGACCCTGCTAGCTATGTTTACCGCAGCCTGGCACTGCAAACTACCTTTCAGTTTGTGGTCTACAATGACCCCCAAATCCTTCTCCATTTCTGACTTCCCTAGCGGCACCCCCATAATTGTATAACCCATTTGTTTATTTTTATGTCCAAAGTGCATTACTTTGCATTTATCGACATTAAACCTCATCTGCCACATTAATGCCCACTCAGAGGATGCCATCAGAAGATGAATGCACTGTGTTTCTAAAGGGATGGACATGGTCAGCGACAATACTCAGGTAGGCTGTGGCATTTAAATGATGCTCAATTGGTACCAAGGGGCCCAAAGTGTGCCAAGAAAATATCCCACCATGTCTCATGCCGAATTTCAGTTGCTTGGGACGCTCCTAGTCCTAGTCTCCCTGAACCATTCCCCTGCCATGCTTACAATGATGCCACCATGCACAGAAATTTACTATGTATACTGTGTTTGATGTGACATTCTCAGAACCATCCCACTCTGTGCTTGATGTTATATTCTCTGTGCACTGCGCTTTATGTTGCATCCTTAGAACCACCCCACTGCAGACAATGTGCTTTATGATACATTCTCCGCACCATCTCACTCTGTACACTTTCTTTGTCACATATTCCAGACTGTTCCACTCCATACACTGTACTATAACTGAGACTCTCTGGACTTCCACCATGGCATACACTATGCTGCAAGTCACTCTCTCTGGGCTGGCCCATCTTTTATACCGTATTGGAAGTGACATACTGCAGGGCCACCTATGAATGACGCTGTAATCTGTCAAACTCCGCACTGCCTGGAAATTACTCCAGCGCCATTCTGTTTGCTGTGCAGTATGTCACATGCTCAACTCTGGCGGTTGCCTGAAGGTGGTTGCCTCAGGCAGCCACTGGGTCGCCAGTGAGGTCAGTGAACCTGGAGGGACGGCAGGTAAGCCATCAGGCCCCCCACCAACAGGGTCACCCCCCCAGTTCCCGACCTCGGAATATGCACCCATGTACCACCAGAGCCGCAACACCCCACCCCCCAATGTGCACCACCAGCCCCCCCACTCCACCCCGAAAACTCTGGTGACACCCCTGGCCGTGTGTACAATTCATGACAAATATCTGCTTCTGTACTACATGGTGGCAGAACGGACGGGAGCTTCATCGGGAGCTCACAGTGTTTATATGCTCAGCCGGTAAAGGTATCATTTAACCCTTTGCTTGCCTGCAGGGACCAGACCTCAATGTCAGTGTGAGAGAGAGACAAATCCGACTCCAATAATCCTCCTCGTCAGATTCACTAATCCGTTATCTTCATTACTCCAGAGGCGCCCGCCACCCCGGAGAACAAAGGCGGCATGCAAAGCGCCCTCTATGAAGGTCCCGCGAGTCGCCTCTCTATGGCACGCGGCTGACACATTCGGCGTTGTCACACAAAAGGAAAAAAGCCAGCAGCTCCCCGGCTATTGCACGCCTCACGCTGCGCGCTGATCCCGGAGATGACAGCTGCAATCGGCTGTAATGTTGCCGTCTAACTTCACAAGAACCGACCCGACACCGCTAATGGGATGAAATCGGAAGTGGCGGCCTCAAGGCTGAACGTCAAGCAGACCTCTAATTACACAAGAAATACATATCAAGGAGCTGTGTGACCTGCCAAGGGATTTGTATTTCTGTCCATACAATCCTGAGATTTACACCGCTCTGCCACAGGTCCCCCCCATTCCCCAACCTATATGCCAACCCATTGTGCTTCAGTGGTGAACAATAATCTTTGTCAACCTTTGTAACATGGAGGAACCCTTCAAATAACTCTCAGGTCTCACGAAGCCCCTGGCAATATCTACAACTCACGATACATTAACATAATCATCGTGACATTGGGGGTCAGTGGGAAGAATGTTCCTTACATTGGGGGTCAGTAGGAAGAATGTTCCTTACATTGGGGGTCAGTGGGAAGAATGTTCCTTACATTGGGGGTCAGTGGGAAGAATGTCCCTTACATTGGTGGTCAGGGGGAAGAATGTCCCGTACATTGGTGGTCAGGGGGAAGAATGTCCCTTACATTGGTGCAGTGGGAAGAATGTTCCTTACATTGGTGGTCAGTGAGAAGAATGCTCCTTACATTGGGGGTCAGGGGGAAGAATGCTCCTTACATTGGTGCAGTGGGAAGAATGCTCCTTACATTGGTGCAGTGGGAAGAATGCTCCTTACATTGGTGGTCAGTGAGAAGAATGTCCCTTACATTGGGGGTCAGTGAGAAGAAAGCCCTCCTTACAGAGATCTAAAAACATTTTTGGTATCAGTGGTTACTTATCGAAAGTCAGAAGTTGCTCATGGTACCCCTAGCACCTTTTGAGGAACCCTAGAATTCCACGAAACCCTAGTTGAGAAAGGCTGCTCTAAATGGACAGGGGTGGCGCCTGGAGCGGACTTGGCTTAGAGGTCAGCGGTAGTTTGTGGTATTTATTATTGCTTAAGCAAGTTGCTTAAAAGTGAAAAAAAAAAGGTTAACTTTAAGCCAAAGATGGAATCCATCGTGACAATCATTTATGCCGGACACACACAAAGATGAGACATACAGCTACAGACCTTGAGATACCATTCTACGTGTGCTGCTGACAACACACCCCATGGGGTAACAGAGTCGTCTTACCTTCATCCGGAAGAATGTAATGCTGGTCAGCAGATCCACAGTGGACTTCAGATCCTGCAGTCTGTCGGGGCTGCTGGCCGGAAAATTGTTCTGCAAAACAAGAAGGAACCAGAATAATGAGACTCAAGAGGCCAAGCCGTCAGCACATTCTAATGCAACAAAACATTGATTGAATCTAATGGGAAGGTGGAGATCGGGTCCGTGCGTAGGCCACACAGAGAAGGACCAGAAGGAGGATGGACAAGTCTGGATTTTTACAAAGATGGCTGCTGTCGTGCAGATCCTCCAAATGGCAACCTAGGCAGAAACCTGGTAAACTGTCTTCTGGGCTGAGAAGGCGGCGTTGTGTTTCTCTGTACTTTAGTAAAACACTTTTTGCCCCCCCATAACCCTGTTATATCGGTTCATGGGTCTCCACGCCCCCCTCTATAGAATTCATGGTGTCTTTATATCACATGGTGATGGCTAAACAAAACCTGAAACTAAAAATTGGCCAGACGACCCTCTATATAAAGGATTTATCTGTGCTATACACCGGCTGCTCTCTGCATATCCTTCTGGCAATAAAGGCCACAGTCTTGTAAATGAAGGACTTTTCGGCCCCTTTTGGTCCATCTCACCATAACCTGACTGGTTGTCCCGTCTGATAAATGATCATAGAAGACCTATTAATGTGATATAAATAGACTTTCGGGGTTGGATAAAGTGTAAAGGAAGAACTGAGATCAAAGGAAATGACTGCACTAGGTCCCAGTGGTGCTGGTCACATATATGAAGGCCAGGGCACCGAGGTCACATGATCTCTCCACAAGGGCAGGTCAGGGGTCACATTGGCTGACCGCCTCCTTCTCCAGAAAAGGAGAGAAGATATGACTGAGGCTCAAGTAAGCAGCACTGTAGAGAACGCCTAGAGCAGGGGTCAGCAACCTGCGGCTCCGGAGCCGCATGTGGCTCTTTCATCCCTCTGCTGCGGCTCCCTTTACAGGGGCGGAACTACCCCTGGGGGCCTCTGGGCCTGAGGCTGTGGGGGCCCAGTGAGGTCTGGTCCTGGGCACCCCCCTGTTGGAATATGCGGCAGTGCAGGGTCCTGGGGCCCCGCACTGCCGACGGGCTTCTCATTAATGGGGCGGGTCTTGTGACTCGCCTCCTCTCCCGGCCGCGTCCCTAGTAACAGGAGGCCGGAGAGGAGAAATATGTCACATCCCCTGCCCCCTGCATTGCACGCCGTCTGGCTGGGATGCTAGCTGTGAGGTTTGGCAGGTGAGTCCAGTGCGTTACTAAGTCCAGAGTCCAGTGCGTTACTATATATACCTATATACATGCTATATACTGTATAGCATAAAGGTAAATAATGATATATGGAGTGTTATCTTCATTTTAGATGTCAAAAGGGGTTTTGTGGCTCCCGGTGTTTTCTTTTCGGTGGGAAACGGGTCCAAATTGCTCTTTGAGTGTTTAAGGTTGCTGACCCCTGGCCTAGAGCAAGAGCAGGCAACCTCGGCTCTCCAGCCTCTGGGAATTATGCATGGGGCTGTCAGTCTTGCCATGCCTCATGGGAGTTGTAGTTCCACAACAGCTGGAGAGCCGAGGTTGCCCACCCCTGGCCTTGACGATCTTTTTCTCCAGGAAACCCATTTCAGTTCTTCCATTATTTCGCTGTTTACATCGGAGTACAGGTCCACTTTAAGATAGAATCTCGGCACATTCAGAATACATTTCTTTCTTGGCCGTCGCTAATGGGGACAATTTTCCACTTTCAGGAAAAATAACAAAACTTCAGCAAACATTTACATAACCCAAATGCTGAACCGAGAGCGGCAGGCCTCTTCTTGGGAGCCGTACAACGTCCCCGGGCTGTATAGCTGCAAGTTTCACTCTTCACACTTTGCTGTGCTGAAGATTTACAAAATCAACCAGAGTTTTCACTTGCGAAGGGGCATTCGATTCTATTCCAGCAATGTGACATTCGATTCTATTCCAGCAATGTGACATTCGATTCTACTCCAGCAATGTGACATTCGATTCTATTCCAGCAATGTGACATTCGATTCTATTCCAGCAATGGGACATTCGATTCTATTCCAGCAATGGGACATTCGATTCTACTCCAGCAATGTGACATTCGATTTTATTCCAGCAATGTGACATTCGATTCTATTCCAGAAATGGGACATTCGATTCTATTCCAGCCAGCAAAGTCCTGATACAGAGGAACTCAAGTGCAAGGATCCCTTCACCTGTATAGCCCCCATCCTTGTTTCTGTCAGTGTCTCCCTATGCCAGTCACACCATCTGAGCTTTCCGTACTTCCTCTATGACCCTTCTCTGCCTCCTCCCACATAGCTGATTTGCATGCCCGCACTCCCAAATGTCACCACTTCATGGCCTGAATGACACCCCAGTTTAGGGGACCCCCCACAAAAAACGGAACTTGCCAGTAGGCAATGCTCCATGTATATTGGGGGCGTGGGAGGTGCCTAGATCTATGCAAGTTCCAATTTGCAGAAAGTCCCTATTTGTATTGGACTTCTGGGGGACTCCCAGCATTACATGAGGCAGGCATGAAGCTCTGTAAAGGTACAAGGTCACACCGGGGTGCTGGCAGCAAATGATCTCTGGGGAGAGGGTTGAGGTGGGCTCGTGGTTGTTGTGCTGATATGTGTTGGGAGATGGGAGAGCGGACACCTGACCACGTTTCAGTGGTTCTGTCTGGCATCCCACCGAGCTCACCGTTGTCACTGCTTGGCAGGAGCTCGGTGGGAGTGTCCAGCTCAGCGCCTGACAACTGGTGACGTCAGTGAGTTGGGCAAGAAGCCGCACAGAGCGCCACAGTTTGCTAAGAGTTCTTAGCAACCTGGGATGCTGTGGCCGCTACCCTGCCACCTGACCTCCCTCCAATGAGATGCCGCCTAAGGGAACCATCTCAGAATTACTCATTATAGAGATGGTCCTGTTCAGAGCAATGTAGATGTAATTGGAATAGAAGAAAAGTGCAGGGGATGTAGTATAGAGCAATGGAGACATAATTGGAACAATGTAGGAAATGTGGAGGGGGTTTAGCATGGGTCAGTGGAACCTCACTGGAGGGAGGATGTGAGGCTATGAATAAAAACAAGCATGCCCTGAGCGTAGGTAGATTCACGTGTCTTGAGAAAGCGAGCGTCTAAGCACCAGAAGTGGCCGTTGGCTGGATGGTCTTCAGTCTTTGTTGAGTTTCTTTGAAACAATAAAGAAGATGAATTTGCCATGAGTGCTCTGAATTCTCTTTCTCTGGACTGAGTGGATCCTTCGTAAACTGAGTGTCATGGACTGTAGCTTGTATTAAATGTTTTAACAGAGAGAGGGGGTTGTTTATGTAAATTTACTCTTGAGCTATTGAGATCTGTATGGAACAGGCGTTTTCCCCATAAGAGGAGTAAGGTGGAGCCTGGGAAAAGCATAAAAGAGCCACGAGCGCCATCTAGTGGCTGCATACGTAAATACAAAATAATATGTATTGCTTTGTAATATTTGTATTGCCCTGATCAAAATAAAGTATATACAATTCTCTTTAAAAGGAAGTAGAACAGCGGCTCAGCTCATACACCAAACGCAGTGGTTTTATATTTGCCTTTAGTTGCACTTCAATACGCATAAGTGTTGACAAACATTTCAGGCCAATTCCTTTGGAAGTCTGTACAGAACAGATGGTAAATGTTTCATTATTGAACAGAAGACAGATTAATTGAGGAACAGCAGAGCCTGAGCTCCGAGATCCGTCCGCCTCCTCCCCACTGAACATGCACAGGCTCAGGCCGCACGCCACAACAAACTTTATTAACACAAGACCAGGTCACTCTGACGTGTCCATCGCCTTTGTGCTGGTGTGTTTGGCCTCCTATATATGCCTCGTCTTGGGTGTCACCACTATGGCTAAGACCTTTGAGGCGAGAAACACTGTTTAAAAATTCTTAGCTGCATAGTTTTGAGTGATAGCTCCGAGTCTTCTGGGGTTGGTGGAATCACATCCAAGATGGCGGCACCCAACAGCAGTCTCCGGGCTTTTGGATGTCTACACAAGGGTAAATAACGTGCAGAAAATACTGGTGACATATATTTTGGTTGAAATGAACGGTCGGGAGTGCTGTGTCTTTAAGTGACATTGCTGCATTTGTGAGCAGTGGTCGCCAACATAAAGCAGGAATCAAAAAGACACATTCCCTTTCATGATGGCTCATCTATTATGAATGTAAAGCTTCACATCACACAGCATTGTCAGGCTCTCCTGTGGCCTTGTTCTCAGCGTAGGGAATAACTCTGGGGGGGGGGATGGGATATGGGCCAGAAATTATCAGAGGGGATCAAAAGATTGTTGTTGTATGATATCAGTGCAGACATCAAGTACGAAGATTCCTTCATCCTACATTAAATGATCCTGTCCCTGTCCCTGGCCCATTTAGGGCTACCCCAGGGGGCAAAGGTGAGTTCACGCATTCATGGGGAAGCATCATCGGGCTTACCATAACCCTTTAACCCATTCTAACCTTAGCCCTCTAACCCAAACCGGTAACCTTAGAGAAGTCTTTAAAGCTCAAAACTCAACTGTTTTGTTAAAAGTCCCGTTACACATAGCTTGTCCTTCAGTCTTCTGGCCTGCCCTGTGACATCATGGGCTCTTTCTCTTCTCTAAACAATTTAGTCCCTGAGTCAGTGGCCCATTTTAGACCACCTCTAGAGGGCAAAAGTGAGTGCTCACACTTGTATCCATTGGAATCAGTTATTTTCACAGTCAGGGGCCACTTGCCATCTTTCCAAGAAACAAAGCAAGCATCATCAGGCTAACCCTAACCTATTTTAGGGCCTGTTCACACGACGTCCGTTTTGTGTGCTGACCGGATCCGTACGCTGCTGCACTCAAAATGCATCCCAATGTATCCCTATGTGTTTTATGGGCTCCAGTTCTCACGTGCGCAGTCCGTTTAGGTTACGACAGAAAAATAGTACTGCATGTCACATTTTGTACGGTCAGGAAACGGTCAGGAAATGCAAACGCGTCCAAAACGCGTAAAAAACACACTGCACTGCAGCTAACATACTAACAGCCCCACTCCAGCCAAAAAAAAAATGTTTTTTTTTTTACTGGAACGCATCAAAAACGTGACCAAAACGCGGCTGTTTGTTTTGCAAAACGCGGCAAAAACACACTGCATCAGTCTGCAGATCCGCACCTGATCAGGACCTGATATCATGTGACAGGCCCTTAACCCCAAATCTCTTTTACCCTAACCTAAACCTCTAACCCAAACTGCTAACCCTATCCCTCTAACCCCAACCCCCCATCTCTTTAACCCTAATCCATACCTCTAACCCTATCTCTCTAACCCATTCTAACCTCAACCTCCTATCTTATTAACACTAACACAAACCCCAACCAGGACCACTGACCCTATCAAACCCCTTCTAAGCCCAATCGCACCTATCACTTTAACCCTAACCCAAACCGCTAACCCTATCCCTCTAACCCAAACCGCTAACCCTATCCCTCTAACCCAAACCGCTAACCCTATCCCTCTAACCCAAACCGCTAACCCTATCCCTCTAACCCAAACCGCTAACCCTATCCCTCTAACCCAAACCGCTAACCCTATCCCTCTAACCCATTCAACCCCAAATTTCTTTAAGCCTAATCCAAACCTCTAACCCTAATCCTCCAACCCAAACTGTTAACCCTATCTTAACCGATTATAACCTCAACCCCCTATCTCTTGAACCCTAACCCAAACCTCTAACCCTCTAATCCAGACCCCTAACCCCGTAGCCCAATTTTAACCCCAAGCCCCTATCTCTTTAACTCTAACCCTACTTGCTAACCCCATCTCAGACCCAAACCTCTAACCTTAAGGGAGTCTTTAAATCCCAAAACTCCCATTATACATACCTTTCTCCTGTAGTCTTCTGGAAGGTCCTTACAACAGCACTTCTTCGCTTACAACAGCACTTCTGAACAGCCCAGCACTCACATATTGAAATGTGGTTGCCACACTATCCAGGACCACCGAGAGCCCAGGCCAATTTGATGATGCACATGATGGGGCATGTCCATGACAGCCTGAGCTCACGGGAATTTAATCGGATGAGGCTGGGCATAACTCAAATAGGAAGAGAAGTGAAGGTAGCCTCAGAGAGGCACACAGAAGAGGATTTTCCGCCTAATGAAGGTATTTTGTGGTACTTGTAAAAGTTTATAAAGGCTGACTAGTTCATTTTAAAGCTTCAGATGTGTCTCTTTAATACAGAAGACTTGTTTCCCCCCTTTCAGAAAGTGTTCCCTAACCCAAACCGCTAGCCCTATCCCTCTAACCCAAACCCAAACCCCTATCCCTCTAACCCAAACCGCTAACCCTATCCCTCTAACCCAAACCGCTAACCCTATCCCTCTAACCCAAACCGCTAACCCTATCCCTCTAACCCAAACCGCTAACCCTATCCCTCTAACCCAAACCGCTAACCCTATCCCTCTAACCCATTCAACCCCAAATTTCTTTAAGCCTAATCCAAACCTCTAACCCTAATCCTCCAACCCAAACTGTTAACCCTATCTTAACCGATTATAACCTCAACCCCCTATCTCTTGAACCCTAACCCAAACCTCTAACCCTCTAATCCAGACCCCTAACCCCGTAGCCCAATTTTAACCCCAAGCCCCTATCTCTTTAACTCTAACCCTACTTGCTAACCCCATCTCAGACCCAAACCTCTAACCTTAAGGGAGTCTTTAAATCCCAAAACTCCCATTATACATACCTTTCTCCTGTAGTCTTCTGGAAGGTCCTTACAACAGCACTTCTTCGCTTACAACAGCACTTCTGAACAGCCCAGCACTCACATATTGAAATGTGGTTGCCACACTATCCAGGACCACCGAGAGCCCAGGCCAATTTGATGATGCACATGATGGGGCATGTCCATGACAGCCTGAGCTCACGGGAATTTAATCGGATGAGGCTGGGCATAACTCAAATAGGAAGAGAAGTGAAGGTAGCCTCAGAGAGGCACACAGAAGAGGATTTTCCGCCTAATGAAGGTATTTTGTGGTACTTGTAAAAGTTTATAAAGGCTGACTAGTTCATTTTAAAGCTTCAGATGTGTCTCTTTAATACAGAAGACTTGTTTCCCCCCTTTCAGAAAGTGTAATGAACCGATATGACTCGGTTGAAGTAACTCCCATTTCTATAATTACCAGTAGCACCCTGTCATCAATAGCGGTGCCGCTTGTATGTATCTCTCACTAATCACAGGTTCCATTTCTTCCCCTTTTACGGATCAAAAGAGCCCCCAATTGTACGTCTTCTTCCAAGAGATAGTTAATTACACATTGGAGCCGGGAGAATTCAGCTATCACTTCCCAGCGGGATTAGAGGGAGAGGCAAGCGTGCGTCGGCAGTCTGCAATCATCCCTTTGTGCTCGCTGCTATTTCTGAACTTACCCTGTACATGGAGAGATCGATACGCAGAGAATTGTGCAGCTGATCCAGGAGCTTCACAAAGCGTTCTTTCTGTACAGAGAGAGGAGAAAAAAAAAACATGCAGAGTTCAATAAAGAGAATGGAGCAAAAATACGGAAATTGTATGGAAGGCAGATTGGGATTCGGGAGGGGGTGGGGGGGGGGGGGGCGTGGTGGCCTGGACTCACCCCAAAGTTGGATGCGGAGAAGCGGTCAGAGGCGGACACGTTGGTGGAGGCAGTTGTGTGAGCGTAGTAGGCATTGATGTTGGCGAGTAAGGTGCTCATGACGGCAGGAACGCCGGGGCACATGTTCAGCCACCGCCTCCTGCCCAGCTCACAGCTTGGCCAGCTACCGCCTCCTGCCCAGCTCACAGCTTGGCCAGCCACCGCCTCCTGCCCAGCTCACAGCTTGGCCAGCTACCGCCTCCTGCCCAGCTCACAGCTTGGCCAGCCATTGCCTCCAGCCCAGCTCAAGCTTGGCCAGCAACCGCCTCCTGCCCAGCTCACAGCTTGGCCAGCTACCGCCTCCTGCCCAGCTCACAGCTTGGCCAGCAACTGCCTCCTGCCCGCCGGACACCTCGGCTTAACCCACAGCTCCCCCCTTCTACTGGCTGCTTCAAGTGGCGAATAAGATAGGGACGTCCCTGAACACGGGAACGTTCTGGCTGCCTCCCCAGTCTGCTCAGCTAGGCAGAGGGTGGAAGGAGGCAGCTTCTCTCAGTCTGTTAAGGGAGCCGGCCCAATGTGCAGATCTGCTTCTGCTCAGACCAGGCAGAGATCTGCAGCTATTACCTGCAGGTTTCGGCACACATGTAACAAATCATCTTCAACATAGGCGCATTATGCTGATGATTTGGCGCATGTTGAGTGCGGCAAAAACAACAACAAAAAAGGAGTGTCAGATTAACAACTAGCTTGGCCAGCCACCACCTCCTGCCCAGCTCACAGCTTGGCCAGTCATTGCCTCCTGCCCAGCCATTGCCTCCAGCCCAGCTCACAGCTTGGCCAGCCAGGGAAGGGGGAAGACGGATCAATGATGCCCTGCACACACAGGATGTCCTCATTGATGCTAGTGCTCAATCAAGGATACAGAGAAAAGGGCTAAAACGTAGGTCCCTTGGGGGGTGGGGTGTCAGGGGCGGTTTCAGGACACGTTGCACTCACAGGATGTCCTCAGTGATGCAGAGAAAAGGGCTAAAACGTAGGTCCCTTTGGGGGGTGGGGTGTCAGGGGCGGTTTCAGGACACCTTGCACTCACAGGATGTCCTCAGTGATGCAGAGAAAAGAGCTAACAGGGAGGTCTCTTGGGGGAGTAGTTCCATGACGCTCTGCACTTACAGGATGTTGTCAATGATGCAGAGAAAAGGGCTAACAGGGAGGTCTCTTTGGTGGGGGGATTGGCCATCCACAAGATGTCCTCATTGATGCCAGTCCTCCATGCAGAGAAAGGGGCTAACAGAGAGGCCCTCAGAAAAGGGGGGTGATGGTTCCATGACACCCTGCACTCACACGATGTCCTCAGTGATGCTGGGCGTCATTCAACTGAGGACATCTAGAGGTAGAACTGTGTATTGCAATATTGCCCATCTGGGGGACTAGTTATAAAAAAAACAAAAAACAACAACAACCCCCCCCCCCCCAAAAGTTTGTTTTTAAAACCCCGCTTATCTC